TTTTTTATTGATTTTGTGATTAAATGAACCTTAAATGAACCTGAGTTGAAACCAGGGATGTTTACGTGGAAACTGTTGGTCTTTTAATCGTCTATCTGTTGGAAGGAAAACATTAAACCTGTTTTACATGAATAAATCCAATTCTTTGTCTCCCACTGCAGCTGGGAATGTTCAGAATGCTCCTGTTCAACGGAGAGGAGGAAGACGAGAGGAAGAAGATGGAGAACAACTTCAGGCCTCCTCAGCCTCTCAACGGCAGAGAAGTGCGTTCCTCCAATTAGTTCCTCTTCAACTCATAGATACACAAAGCTTTGTCAAGCAGCAGCTTCTGCAGGAATATGTTTTTAACCATCATGATAGTTTGTTCTGTAGGCGTCTGAGCTGATTTAGACAGAAAGGTAAAGATCCAGTGTTTTGAGGCAATTAGAGATTCATAAAAATGGACTTTATGATGACACCAAGGAGCCAAGTGATGAGAAAATCAAGTCTTCTTTTAAACTTTAATAACTAATTATGGAAAAACCTGCAACAAGGTTATACAAGCACTTTAAACGAGCCGGTTCTGTTTTTCAGCTTTTAGCTCGAGCCGTCTGCTGGCGAATAAAAGCTGCTTTTATCCAAACTGTTTCGTTGTGCGTTACACAACTGAGGCCCCTTTTTAAAGCCATGAAGATTTTAAACTTTGTTTTAACCAGATGATTAATTAAAATTTATTTAACTGAGTTAGAATGAAACAGCATATTTTGAAATGACAACATTCTGCCTGAATGTCACATCTGTGGGGTTAAATGATTGGATTTACGGTTAACCTCAAACTTCCTGTACAGTTTTAAATTTTGTGTAAATTGTGACAGTTTTTATGCTGAAATGTTACTGTCTTGTAAAAACAAGCCCCCTCCAAATCATTGAGCCTCTGTTGCGACTTGTTTTGTTGCTGATGTGAGAAATGATGGAGAAAATGGAGTTTACGATTAGTTTTGAGTGTTTTGTAAAGCATTTTTGTAACTTTTGCAATGTTTGACAGGAATAAAATTAAAACTTTTGAACGATGCCTTTTGWTCTGTGTCTTAACAAAACCAGGAGCAAAACGTCTTCATTTGAAACAAAAAATGATAATTAATTCAGCATTTTATGTTCTTAGTTTTAGATTTGAGCTACAAAAACCTGCTCAAACCCAGGCAGAAAACTATTTAAGCTTCTCACTTTATAAAAAAATGTGTGATGGTTGTAACTGAATCTTCCTTATTGCAGCATATATTGGAGTCATTCAAGCCAATGTTTAAACACTCAGAATCAGAAGAAGTCCTCTTCTGTTCAAGGTAATCAGTAGTCAGGATTAAACCTGACAGATTGCAGGACACAGAGGGGTAATGTGAACTGAGAAATTATTTACCAACAAAATCAGTTTGAGTCTTTTAAGGTGTTGGTAAAAGATCTTCGCAGTGTCTCTGAAAATGTTTCAGCTTTAAGAGATAATTCAAYCTTCAGCCACGTTTTATTTAAAAGGGGAGGAAAAAAAGATTTCTTCTTAGACGCTCAATTAGATGCAAAAAATGTCCTGGAAATCCGTTCTTAGAGTTTACATAAGGCAGTATCCTTCTTTGCATCAGAATCCTGCTCTCAGGTAAACTCATTTAATCCATCTTTTGAATGGCTCCGAGCAAAGTTTAAACACCCGAGGGAAGTCTMCACTAGGTGTTGGAGAGGAGGAAGGACTCTACATTTACTGAAGAAAATGCTTAAATAAATCATTTCTAATTGTGTCCCTCTGACCTGCTGCAGCTGTGTGTTGGTGACAACACAGCAGGAGAAGTTACCTGTTAATATATCAGACAGGTGTCAGGGTGGAAAACACTCATTTAACAATAAAGGGAAACCGGGCACGACTGAAAGTTAAGTTAATCAGTGATGGTGGGAATTTAAAATATTATAAATACTTGTAAAATGTTATACATGTAAAATGTTTCGATTTGGTTTTATAAATGTATTGGGGCATGAAATCACAGTTTTGTTTATAAAGCTTTACATAAAATAGTGTAGAAAATAAATGGAAGGCCTTTACTTTTTATTAAAAATGAATTTAAGGAAATGTAACTTTTTTTTTTTGACAAATTAAGACACGGAGGAATTTAGAAAACATGAAATGCAGACAACACAAGCAGGTGCACAGAATTGATTTACCTGTATGGAATACATTTTGAAAACAAGCAGTTTAGTATATTTCTAATAAAGGTGCAACATTTGTAAAATACGTGGTGCTAATCAGTTCAACTACAATTATGACAAGTGAATATTTAGGTGGTATAATGTAGAACCTTATAATTGTAAAATATTATAATGGATATACAATTGTAAATAAACAGTACTAGTAAGATAAAAATTTATTAGTTCTGCTCCTTCTTCAATCTTTTACATTATTCTTAAAAATAACTAATACCAAGTAATAAAATCTATCCATCCATGCATTATCCATACTCGCTTCTTCCTTTCAGGGTCACTGGTGCCCAAACCCAGCAGTCCCAGTGCAAGGGGCGGGGTACACCCTGGACAGATCGCAAGTCCATCACATAAGTCATAATAAATGCTGAAAAATATTTAAAAGTGAAGCCAATAAATCAGTTATTTTAGCTTGTTAATAACGTTCGGTGTAAATGTGATGGCAGCCTTTGTCCAGCAGGGGGCAGAACAGGACCAGTTTAATTAGCTGTACACAGCGTTTGGTTTTTAAAAATGTTTTTGGTATTATTTGAAAACTCAACACATCTACTAAAGGCAATAGATTGAGTTATCAAGATTAGTTCAGAAAACTGCAGCACTGACTTAAAAAAATACTCGAACAACCTAAAGTAAATAATTTTATTTTAAATAAGACTGCATGACATTGGGTCAAATGTGCTCAATTAATTGTAATTCAATGTAGTTGGCTGAGCTACAAGAATGTTCCAACATGTCCAGTTTGATAAAATAATATAAAGATTTAAAAATGCATTTCTGTAAAGAAAAGGTTAAAATGAATAATCATAGTTTGAAATAAATATTCATTATGC